TGGATCCGCCCCTGTGACAAGTATCAACAGTACAGTAATAATGACATCATACCAATTTTCTTCTAAAGTTCAAAACCCACTGTTTTTTTTTAAACTTGTGGAAAGGATAACATTGACTTAGTATAATTTAAGATATATCATTATTTTTATGAATGTGGGTATGTTTGTTTGTTTATGTATTTATTTATTCTAAGATAGAGATGGCAGGCTATAAAGGAAATTCCTATTCCCAATAGGATTCACTTACCACATACATTCAGAACAAATAGAACTTTATTATTTGTTAACCTAAAAATCCATTAAATACGACTTGCTGTACATAAGGCTATAGACGTCTTCCCCGGAACCGACTGGGGCTTTCCCCGACTCCCAGGCAAAGCTTGGCTTATACAAAAATAGGAATAATAGAAATTTTAAAGTAATTCGTATATAACTCGCACAGGTTGTTGTTCGCACAAGTGGATCTTCTTCTGCTCGAACTAGCATCCGCTCGAAAAAAAATCCGCTCGAATTGACTGGTTCCCAGGCTGGGACATGTAAGGTTGTTGTTTGTTGTTATTTCGCAATTCGCGACGTCATCAACGAGTACAATACATTCAATCCCGTAACATGATTGGTCTATTTTTTTTCTAATTTGCATAATGAGTTTTTCCAACATTTTTGTCTATTTAAAAAAAAGTGTGTAAGTTATGGAGATGGTAACAATTATAAATCGATTATAAATTTAATTATACATTTTTAGACAAAAAATAAACCCTCTTGGCCCAAGGCCCATTTTTTTTTTTGACACCATGACCATGCGTAATATTATCCTGCAGTGTATATATACAAAGAATGTTTTCTTATAGGATTAGAGTTGACTAACTGGTACTTGGTGTGGTACTAGGTTTATCGCATTTATGGTTTAGGGGCCGCGGTTTACCTCCCTCCGTTTAGTCATGCTGGATCAGGAGTTGTAAACTCGGCGATCGTGGGTTCGATTCCCACACGGGGCAAGTTTTTTTTAAATTTTTTTTATTTATTTTTATTTTTATTTTTTTTAAGGTCGTGGGTTCGATTCCCACACGAGCCAGTTTTTTTTTTTATTTTTTTTTAAGGCAGTTTAGTTGATGATGGATAATGAATAGCAAACATGGAGGTTGTGTGTTCGATTCCCACACGAACCAA